ACCAGTGAATACCAGATTCCCTTTGGAGAGAGCTCAGGATGCAGACAAAGGACAAAATGCTGTACAGAATTACACACTTAGTCCTAATGAAAATTTTAGGTTGGATGTACGAAGTCACAGTGATGGTAGCAAATATGCAGAGTTAGTATTACGAAAACCATTAGATCGTGAAGATGATGCACAACTTTTCCTGATTTTGTCAGCTGTTGATGGAGGGACCCCAAAGAGAACAGGCACAGCACAAGTCATAGTTAAAGTTCTGGACAATAATGATAATTTCCCTCAGTTTGGTGATTCTGTATACAAAGTGAAACTGAAGGAAACTGCCCCCCAAGGGACACTTGTGACAAAAGTCGAAGCAACTGACAAGGATCTTGGTTCCTATGGGGACATCACGTATTCCTTCAGCCAGGTGTCAGAAAATGTGCTCAAAGCATTCAGTGTAAACAAACATACTGGGGAACTTACAGTTTCAGGAACCATTGATTATGAAGAGGAGAGAAATTATGAGATAAACATCAAAGCCACAGATGGAGGCGGGCTTTCTGATTACTGCAAAGTTATAGTGGAGGTTGAGGATGGAAATGACAATGCCCCAGAGGTGACTCTCACGTCCCTCACCAGCCCCTTACCAGAAGATTCTCCCCTGGATACGGTGGTGGCACTCTTCCGTGTCACAGACCAAGACTCTGGAGATAATGGCAGAACTGCCTGCACCACTGAGGCAATGTTGCCCTTTCTGTTGAAAGCATCTGTGAATAAATACTATCAACTGGTCACCCAGCAGCCCCTGGACCGAGAAAGAGTCTCAGAGTACAACATCACCATTACTGTTACAGACCAGGGCTCTCCCAGGCTCACAGCAACAAGAATAATTAATGTCCAGATTTCAGATGTCAATGACAATGCTCCAGTATTTGAGAAGTCAACATATGAAATACAATTATGGGAAAACAATATTCCAGGTCTCCTCGTAGGTCTGGTCCAAGCCAAGGACCCAGACATGGAGCACAATGCCAAAGTGACCTATTCTCTTTTGCCTGGGAAGGTCAGTGATCAACCTGTGTCCTCATACATCTCCATCAACTCTGAAACTGGGAATCTGTATGCCATCCGATCTCTGGACTATGAGCAGGTGAAAGATTTCCAAGTGACTGTGAGGGCTGTGGACCATGGATCTCCTCCCCTGAGCTCTGAAGTTTCCCAGTGGGACCGAATTTTCCTGAGAACTGTGGAGATGCTGATGCTGGATCCCTTTCCCGGGCTTACAACTATGAGGTGTGCTTAGCTGGTGGATCTCTGAACAGTGAGTTCAGGTTTCTCAGGCCTTTCTTTCCTGTGTTTTCTGTGGAGCCTGCTCAGTCCCAGCAGGATCCAAGGATTTCATCGAGTTCCCAGGAAGTTCCTAATCATGCAGCAGAAGGACAAGTCATGAGTGAGGTAAGGCTATAATTATCATCCCAGGCATATGGTGGGATGCACTTACATCCTTAACGTTTGACCGTTCATGAAACCCTTATTAATTGCAATCATTCATGCCAATTTGGTGTACTAAAGGGAAGCAACCTTACGTATACAGCAACCTTATGCGTAAAGCAACCTTATCTGTACAGAAAGGCCACTTGGGAGTCATCTTTGTGTTTTTTCTTGCTGTTAGTGTCTGGAGTGATAGTTTGCACTTTGGTGTGTCATGGAAAGCAAAGCATGTCTTGCTAAGGTTCTAAAAGATTTGAAACCAGGGATAGGGAGAGTTGCTCTTCAGAGGTCAGCCAGTTTCTGGAAACAATAAGTGATTGTCTTGAACATGTTCTTAAAAGTAGTGTGAAAATCTTTATGCTGATCTTTGCTGATTGCAGTCTTCAGCTTTGCTTGCACACCTGTTCAAGCTCAGCAATATTTAATAAATATGGATAGTGGACATGAATGGCAATGTTCCCAAGTGTTATGAAAATCAATCCAATCTACCTATATCCCCAGGATAGTCTGGTCCCCAGTGCAAGTGAGGAATGTATACTCTTATTAAAATGAACAGATTGCTCACTTATTCCATCAGTGTCTGATGAAATACACTGCTTTTTTAGATTGAATAAAAGCTGGGAATATCTGTGTTTGGGGTCATAATTGATTATGAGAAAGAAATGAAGAATGACATTCTGGTCAGATGAATAGATGGAAAGTGTCTTTGTGACTCTTTGGAGTCTTTGTGGAAGTTGAGAATGATAATGGAAAAGTTCAATGGGCAGCATTAACAGCAAAGTCTCCAACATTAGAGAGCTTACTTTTCCTATTAGAAACAACCATTATTAAGAAAGAAGTCTTTGCACTGGCACAAGATTAATCTGTCAGTTTTGAAGATGAAACAAGACTCTTTTCTTCTTGCTACTCAGTAATACCTAAAAGCTCTTGAACACAAAGAAATATGTTGGGCACATTGCCAATGATCTAGCAGTCTAAGTTCAAGAAGCATAATTCACATCCAGTTCTTAAATAACAATGATTAATTAGTGTTTTTGCAGGAATAATTGTCCAAAAGACATATACTGGGAAAATATTAAAGTACTGGTGATTAGTCCTTCCTGTCTAGGAAGACTGTTAATGACTTGGAAATTTTTAGTATTCCCAATAATTTTAAGTCTATCGAGTTAGAGAAGATAACAGATTTCGGAGTTCTAATGAAGACAGTTGATGCTGGTGGTTCTCCACTAAACTCAGAAATTATTTTTTGAGTTATCTTGCATGAAAATTATAATCCTCCTTCCTTTACTCCTTTCCAAACTGTACATCACCCTGCAATGACTGGTTTAAAAGTCAGTCTAGGGTGCCTACCTGGTCACCAAGGTGATGGCTGTGGATGTGGGTTCTGGTCCAAACTCTTGGCTTTCCTATTATTTGCTCAAAACCATACAAGCACAGAAAGGAGAGTGAAAACCAGCAAACAGTAAAGTACGGACAACTTAACCCCATCTCCAAATTGTTATGCTGGGAACCATGACTGGAGGTATTTATTTACTTATTAAATGTATATGATTTTCATTCAAAATCAGGAAAGCTGAGCCTGGTGGGGAGAAAGACCTGAGTCAAGATACAAGAGAGGATAGAGTTTAGTTCCCCTCTTGTGTTCACTCCATTTTTTATTAAGCAATCCCCACACAGGCATGAGAATTTTGGGTAAAGCACTCAATGTGCCTCGTTTGCAAGAAGGAGATTGAATTGCATAGAAAACAGAAAAAATAGTAATATAAGTACATACTTCCATATGTGGTGGAGCTGGCAAAAAAATTGGAGTGAGGGGAGTTGATCTAGTAAGTGATTTAAGTTTAATTGCATAATTTTGTTATTCCAGATGCAGAAGTGGACGATTTATTTATTATTTACAAAAATATTTATTAAATATTAAAATTTATTTACAGAAAAACATTTATATTTTTCAATAGCAGTGACATACACCATGTCACAAAAGTAGAAATCCACAAAAAATTACAATTGATATGTGGTATAATGTTTAGTGCAATATAGCTCTGATGAGAAAAATTAATGCCTCAAATTGGATTAACAAAAGGTCTAGTGAGTGTAGATGTTCTTTATGCAGCTCAGGATTCATTTTTATCTTTTTCCAGCCAGTGCTCAGCTACTCTTTATCCTATTCAATACTATAGATTAATGGAAATATGTGATTTAATAAATGGTACAAATACGGGCAATCAAACTGGAAAAACATCTTGTTTAAACTGTAAAACAATAATTGTAAATAGTTTATTTTTTTCTTGTTCTGTATTTGCCCTCCCCCCTTCTTTATTACATTTTGTTAATGCATGACTAGGAAGACAGTGCAGCAAACAAATAAAAACTCTATCAATTATGAAAATTATTCTATACAGTTTACACAACATAAATTTAGAACTTCGTACACTTGTTTAAAATCTTTATACTGGCTGCCAATTTTCTTTTGTGTTCCATTCATGTGCTAGGTTGTTCTATGCTGTCACTTCGGAATATGTTGAGGGTCTTAGGTAAACAGATTATAACATTCAAAACAACTGGTATGAAACTAAAAAGTTGGATGAGGCCTACCAGAGTCCTTCATAGTTTAGTAATCTTTTTAGGTGTTTGTGTCTTTCGATGGAAGCAAAATGGTTCAATTTGCCACATGTGTGACAAATCCTTTTCTTGGCTGGACAGGTGTGTTTGTGAAAGTGTTGTCTTCCACAATAATGACATCTGGTAGAAGTAAGGTTGGGCTCTCTTAATCACAGGATTAACAGCTATTGCTGTGGCTTCTTTGTGAAAAATTACTGTAAGCGCTGATTGTGTCACCTCTATAGAAGACAAAAGTACAAAAGTACAGAGGTATATAACATGCAGGTTGAAAAACATCCAAAGAAGCCGCCTTCAGTCCACTCATTAAAACGAATCAATATATTCCGACAATATAATTTGTCATGACTACTATAAACAGTACAGCAAAATGCCACATACAACATAAAAACATATCAGAGCAGTGAACAAAGAGTTGATTGTATGACAAATAAACAAGTCCAGTACAACAAGTCCAGTACAAATCCATCAGGAGTACAAAAGGCATAAGTCCAGAAAAAGAGCGTTACAGTTTGCTAGCAGATTCCGTTTCCAGCAGTCTTCAAATATTTATAGTAATTTCTCACAAAACACTGCCATTAAGGTATGGAAAACAGAAGTTTTTTCTCATGCCCAAACATAATTTAAGATTGAGGCTGTTACCTTATTAAAAAGACGAAATCCCTGGGTATATCCTCTTCCATTCTCCAAGGGAGTACCTGTGTCAGTGCTAGCCTGTATGGAGAGGAGTCTGTCTCTAAGGCAGGCCACAGATAGTTTTTCAAAATCCATACAGACTTATTACTGTTCCACAGGGCCTGTAAAATGAAGCGGTTTTGCCAGGCCTTTGGCTGAGGTGGCAGGCATCCAATATAAACTGGCCTCCCCTGCTGAAGTTGAAGCTTATCACCTCTACGCGATCCAGAATAAGAACATCTCAGAGACCCAATGCGCACGCTGGGGGCGGGGCCACGCCATTTGAGGGGAAAACAAAGAGTTTTCCCCTCAAATAGCGTGGCCCCAGTGTGTGATGTCACTTCCGGGTGACGCACGCGTGCACGAGCTTGACGCCGGCTGGGAGCCCCCCGCTCCCGGCCAATTTCGATTTGGCAACCCTATGATCCGCCTGAGCCTTTTTGCCAGGAGGGCGGAATATAAATTGAAATTAAAAAATAAATAAATTCTCAGTTCGTCACCAATGTAAGATGTTGTAGTGACTCAGGAATATGCTGAAGGTTTTCTTAAGTAAACCCAGTATAACAACTTAAGTTAGAATAAACAGTATAAGAAAAAGAGAAGCAAAGAAAGAGGCCTGCCAGAGTTCTTCATAACAGCTTGCCTACATCCAATCGTTCTAGACCCATAAGTAAAAGTGGCCTGGGAATCCTCCAGATTCCAGTACCCTGAAACTCTGATAAAACATGGAATAGACTTTTGAATATTATACTGGTATCAAACTTTAAGGGGCTGTGGTGGCTCAAGTGGTTAAGACTCTGAACTGCAGACCAGAAGGTTGGTAGTTCGGCAGTTTGAGACCCGTGTGCCGTGGGACGGAGTGAGCTCCTGTCTCTGGCCCCAGCTCCTGCCAACCTAGCAGTTCGAAAGCAAGAAATTGCAAGTAGATAAATAGGTACTGCTTCCGTGGGAAGGTAACAGTGTTCCATGCGGCTCGGCATCTAGTCATGCTGGCCACATGACCACGGAAACGTCTTCAGACAGTGCTGGCCCTTTGGCTTGGAAACGGAGATGACTACCACATCCCTAGAGTTGGATTCGACTGGCTTTCAAGCAAGGGAAACCTTTACCTTTACCTATCAAACTTTAAAGCCCTTCAGGCCATCCAAACCTCATATCTGACCATCTGTCATTCACGCAGCAACTCCCTGCATCATCTCACGTGTGCCTCTTATTCCATCTATAAGAACATTGAGTACTGTTTCAGCTCAGGCATTTTCAGTGTCTGCCACTGTATTATAGAACACTCCTTCAGGTCATAAGTAAGGAACGCATCCTTCAGAGGTTTCAAAAATTATGTAAAGCCAACTATGTAAATGTGTTTTTGGTGACAACTTTGTTCCTGGTTAATACATGAAATTCTGGCCCCATTGGTGGATCTCCTCATGGCACCTAGGTTTTGGCCACTGTGTGACACAGGGAGTTGGACTGGATGTGCCACTGGCCCAACCCAACATGGCTTCTCTTATATTCTTATGT